CCTGCCTTAAAAGGAAGGGGATGGATTTAGGTTGGCATTGGGAAAAGCTGCCATGGTTGTTCCCAATGCCAACATAAATCCCTCCCTTACCTTTTAAGGCAGGAATTTTTCTGTGTCCATTACTTCTTTAAGGTCCAGAGTGCCTGAGGGGATTCCTCATCTGTGGGACMCAGAAAATGTTTGCAGTGTCTGCACAGAATGACAGAGGCAGAGCTGATCACCTTAGGAAAGGGACAAAGSTGATGTGATGTCTTGAAATCCTTCCAAAACAACTTCCTGTCATTCTGGGAAAATTGCTGAAAATAGAACACGTGCTTCCCTTAAATCACTAACAGGCACAGCTCCCAGGTCAGGCATTCCTACTGTTGCTAAAATGATTTAAAATGACAAAATYGTCCTTGTTTTAATAGCAGGAAGCAGAAGCAGACACCCTAAAGTCATTCACCAAAGGGATCTCCAGCACTCAGAGAATCCTAATGAAAACTGAGAGGACCTGAAGGTTTAGTCCAAGTGATCTGGAGAGTTCTCTGAATATTAACACCTGAACAGGCATTTTGGACAAAATTACCATCAAAATAGCTGTGGGCATTGTCTCATATCGGAGCCTCCAGAGGTATGAGATATTTCTGCTGYCACAGTGATTCCTCAGGACAGATTGTCACATCTGTCACCCACGCTTTGCTCTTGCCCTGAACGTTTCTGCAGCCACTGGCATTGTCACAGAGCGAGTATAAAACATCATCAGCTCCTGCAGTGCCTTCTGCTCTTCTGTGATCCCAAAGAAATGATCTGCAATGTCTTCTGCTGTTCCACAATCCCAAGGAAATGATCTGTGCAATGCCTTCTGCTGTTCTGTGATCCCAAACAAATTTCTGCAATGCCTTCTGCTGTTCTGTGATCCCAAACAAATGATCTCTTCAAGGCCTTCTGCTGTTCTGTGATCCCAAATAAATGATCTGCAATGCCTTTTGCTGTTCCACAATCCCAAGGAAATGATCTCTGCAATGGCTTCTGCTGTTCTGTGATCCCAAACGAATTTCTGCAATGCCTTCTGCTGTTCTGTGATCCCAAAGAAATGATCTCTGCAATGCCTTCTGCTGCTCTGTGATCCCAAAGAAATGATCTCTGCAATGCCTTCTGCTGTTCCACAATCCCAAA